CATTTGTTGTTGCTGTTCTGTTAAATTTTGCTATTCTTACGGGGGTGAGATGATTTGATTTGTATCTCTTAGAGCTAGGGATTTTGAACATTTCTTCATGTGCTTGTTTGCCACCTGAATGTCTTTTATTCTTAGGCAAATGCTCTCTTTGCCTTGAATGGCTGGTTATTCTGAGGAGTGGATTCCCCTCTGTCACTGGCCACCTTAAAGGCCTGCTACAGTTCTGGGAGGCTAGGATGGTGAGGCTTCATCTCACATACTTTGGACATGTTGCCAGGAGAGACTGGTTCCTAGGAAGGGACATCATCCTTGGAAAGATGGATGGACAGGGAGCTGGAGGAAGACCCTCACTCGATGGGTTTACATGGTGACTGCAGCAATGGGCTCAAGTGGATTCGAGGTGTGGACTGGATAGGACGGGGCTCAAATGGATCTGAGGTGATGGACGGGATAGGATGGGGCTCAGGTGGGTCTGGGGTGATGGACGGGATAGGAAGGGGCTCAAATGGGTCCGGGGTGATGGACGGGATAGGACGGGGCTCATGTGGGTCCGAGGTGATGGATGGGATAGGATGGGGCTCAGGTGGGTCCTGGATGATGGATGGGATAGGACGGGGCTCAGATCTGTCGATCTTAGGGTTGTTATGGGTTGGACTCAGCTCAGCAACACCTCCCACCAGCTGTCTGGCTGAGAGCTGAGCCATTGGGGTGAGTGCTGTCCAAGTTTAAAGGCTGACTGTGGGCCACAGTCTGGGGCTTCCGTCTACCTCTGTCACACCTGTCAGCCAGCTCTTCTTTATGCTGTTGAGTTCAGTTCCACGCTGTCGCCTTCCTGCCCAGGACACCTGCAGGCGGATACCCTTTCAGGGCTTTCAGTGGGGCCAGGGACTGTCTAGCTCTCCTGGTCTTGGCATCATAGGAGTTGGGGTTCATGTGGTCCCTAGGCCTTTGCCTGGTTGTTCCTACATGTCTTTACTTCTCTCCCCTTGTCCCTGTTCTGGAAAGGGAGAGACCAGAATTTGTACCAGACGGTAATCTTACTGAAGGAGTCGGTAGTACAGTGGTTAAGCATTTGGTGATTAACTAAAACATCGGCTGTTTGAAGGTGCTGGCCAGCGGCTCTACAGGAGAAAGATAAACAGACTGCTTCCCTAAAGAAAGGGAAAACACACACACACACACACACACACACACACACACACACTCACACACACACACTCACACACACACACACACACACACACACACACTCATTGCTGTGCAGACAGAACCAACGCATCACTGACCATCTCTCTCCTGTGGAGCTTCTAATGGGGCCGAGCCACCTGAGGGCCGCCCTGCAGACAAAGGTGCCTCGGAAACCTTAGAGGGAACTTCTCTGTCCTGCAGGCCACTCTGAGGAGGAATCTGCTTGGGTTAAAAGAAGCAAAGAGCTCAGCCCTGATCATGGAGCCCACCCTGCTCCCCATCTCCGGGGGGGGGAGCCCTGGCTTTCAGGCAGCAGGGAGGGGGCCTTAGCTCTCGTAGTGCTATGCACGCTTCGAGTGGAGGGGAGAGAGAGGGTCTGGTCAGCAACACGCCCCCAGAAGCCTGAGTGCAGTTGTAGGGGCCCTGCGCCGAGTTCGGGTGGCTGTGGCATGATGAGGCCTCCGAACTTCTATGGTCGCCCGCCTTGCGGGAGGGAGCAGCCCCTCTGTCTGGAGAAATGCCAGAGCTGTCACTTTAGGAAATGATGTGAAGTGTGTCTTGAGAATAGAGGCAGGAAACACGGAGAGAAGATGCTAAATCTCGTCTAAGGAGACGTTCTTTTCGCCCTCAGTCTGTCTGGAGTTTCTTCAGAGCGCACGTGGTTTCCTGTTCTCTGCACGCTCTTGGCAGGACCTGTGTCTGCCAGCGTGGGCCCCTCGTGGTCCCCGAGGCCGAATATAGGGTTGTGGGGAATGATGGGCGCTGCTGTCGAGGGAGCCGTGCTGGCCAGCAAGGCCACTCCTTGGAGGAGGACGGCTGAGACGCTGGCTCAGGCCTCGAGCAGCTTCCCTGTGACGTGAGGCCCGCAGCACTTGAGTCTTCCCACCACAGGCAGCCTCAGGTGCCCTGAGGAAACCGCAGTGACAGGGTCACAGTGCCTAGCCATGACTTCAGTGATCCTGCACAAGTGCCCGCTGTGTGCTGGGCTGTGCATGGCTCACCGTCCAGGCCCAGAGGTCGCTGGGCGGAGCTGGGCCAGCTGACCTGCACAGTCCTCTCCTGTCCTGACCTCGGAAGGTCACTGGCTGCTCCATCCGCAGAGGCACAGGCCCGCCTGAACGTGTCCTAACGTCCTGTAAAATCAGAAAAAAATATGTCGAATAACAGCCTGAATTCTGTTCATCTTTACACCAACGCCATCGTGAAACAGAGTGTGGTATTTACACAGGGGAGGAGCCAGGCGGCGCGGGCTGTGCCGGCGGAACCCTGCCCAGCACGTGTGCTCACACCCATCACACACGTTCACTCACACTCGTGTTCACCTGTGAGCATGCTCACTCAGAAAATACGCTCTTACCTCACCTGTGCACACACAAATACACACACAAAGGCTCTCACCACTCGTGTCCGTGCTCACACTCATCCACACACTGATTCACATGTTTGCAAACATGGTCACACACACACACACTGAGTTCACACCTCCACAGGCACACTCACATGCTCACACTAACACAGATGCACCCTCACACACACATCCCCCATTCTCACAGTCTCACAAAGTATACACACACACACACACACACACACACATCATACATTCAGACACTTGCTCACACACATTTATACACAACACTCCTATTTATACACTTACACAACAGACACAGACACACGACTCCCTGGTCCTTTTCCAACTGGGGAAATGTTCTTGACCTGGGCAGGAAGCTTTGGGGGACCAGCTTTGTCTGGCCCTTGAGGCAGATGTTGGGGAGGGGACCCATTAATGCCACACACAAACACCCCCTTGTCGTCCCAGGTAGGGGTGCTTCGCCAGGCTGTCACTGCCCCCATGCTGACCATGGTGCTTGAGACTTAGAGGGACCACAGGGCAATGCTAACTGCCGGACTCTGTCCTCCCCAGATGATCATTCCAGAGTGATTCTGAGCCAAGTGGACGGGACGCCCTGTTCAGACTATATCAACGCTTCATACATCGACGTGAGTGAGCTGTGTTCCCCTCCCCTGTCCATCCTGAGGCCCACACCGGGGTGTAGACTGTAAACCGGGTCCAGTCATGCTTTCTCCCCCAGGTGGGGGGTGGAAATTGTCATCATCTTTCTGGGGAGTTGGGCCTCAAACCCCAAGAGCATGAGGGACAACCCAGTCTTTCACTCGACAGCTAGGAGTTCATTTTCCAAAACACTCACCCAGAGATGTTCATCACAACATTACCTGACAGTGGAAGGAACCAGGTAAACCCATTATGCTAAAACCACATTTGTGGAGGACTAGGGACTCATTCTAATGGAATATTTAGAAGTAATTAAATATAAATTAGAGAATTCTTGTTTTAAAAATAGGTTGATTGGTGTGTGCTGTTCAGTCAGAACTGACCTTTAACTGATGCACCAGTGGGTTTTCAGAGGCAGTAAATCACGCTGGAGGAGACCACCCACCATCCCATGGAGCAGTGGGTGGATTCGAACCACATGCTTTCGGGATTGCAGCACAGCTTCTTACTACTAGCCCACCACAGCTCCCTACAATTGGTGTTGCTGTGATGAGCTCTTAAGTCAGAACGGACCCACAGCTGACAGTCCAGTAGGTTTTCAGAGGCAGTTTTAATCACACAGGAGGAGATTGCCCATTTCTCTCTGCGGAGCAGCTGATGGACTTGAACCGTGTGCCTTCGGGACTGCAGCACAGTTTCTTACCACTTGGCCACCAGAGTTCTTTCTCTCCAATAGGAGACCTAATTAAATGGAAAAATATTCCCTGTTCATGTATAGGAAGACTCACCATTGCAAAACCAATAATTTTTCAAGTTTATTTTTCAAGGAGATAAAAAGATGAAAATGAAGTGTAAGTTACCACACCCCCTGATCTAAACCCTCCCACACGGCTGTAACTGAGACAGCCTGGTGATGGTAAAGTGACAGACCCACTGGCCAGTGGGCTTGAGTGGGAAATTCAGAAATCAGTCCTCTATCTGTGGCTTGTTGATACTCAACAAGGGACTAAAACTCATCAGGTGGGGGAACAGCAACAACATGGGCATCTACTACAGAACTGGACACTGGACATTTACCTACAAAACAGGACATCTACCTACAGAACTGGACTTCTACATACAGAACTGGACATCTGCTATGGGACTGGACATCTATGTACAGAACTGGACGTCTACTACAAAACTGGACATCTCCCTTCTAACTGGACTTCTCCCTACAGAACTGGACATCTACCTGCAGAACTGACATCGACCTATAGAACTGGTCATCTACCTATGGAACTGGACATCAATACAGAACTGGACATCTACTGCAGAACTGCACATCTACTATGGAACTGGACATTTACCTATGAAACAGGACATCTACCTACAGAACTGGACATCAGGACATCTACTACAGAAAACTGAAATGGGATTTGTATCTCATACTACACACAAAAGCATGAAGTAGATTAAAGGCTTAGGGGTAAAACTAAAAGCCATGAAAATCAAAGAAACAAACAGATACAAAACCAGAAACCATTTAGAAGACTGTCACCGTGAGCCTGTCCTATGACTACATGTCCCAATTAGGGGTCACTGTCTTGGACACGTGGTATGAATTTAAAAATAAGGATATAAAAGATTTTGTACATATGAATTCCCTTAAAAAGTGTGTGTATCTGGGTGTGTGTATGTGTGTAAGGATCCACAGATAGTCGTAAGAGACTGAAATAGCAGCTGTTGCTTCTGACATTGTGAGGGTTGTTTTTTTTTTTTGCTTTTTCTTTTGTTTTGTATTTTCCAAATTCTGCATCAAAACTCAAACTCACTGCCATCAATTCACAACTGACCCTCACTCATAGCTGATCCTCCAGTGGGTTTCAGAGGTCGTACATTACACAGGAGGAGATGCTTGTACTTCTCCATAATGATGAGGGATCCGGATGACTTTTCTTGTATCCACTTTTTTCCTTTCCATAAAGATAAATCTGGAAAAATTATAAACTTGGTTTTATCTCTCTAGGGTTACAAAGAAAAGAATAAATTCATCGCAGCCCAAGGTAAGCTGGGTGTGAAGTTAATTTCTGGGCGTTGCTTGGGTGGAATGGAGTTGGCAGCTCTGGTTGTCTTCTCTGATCCTAACAGGGACAAGAGTTTGCCTCGGTCCCTTTGTGTGTGCGCTCTCTGCGCCATGTGCATGGCTTGATTCCTGCTGCTTGGCTTGTGTGTCTCTCAGAACAAGGGATTCGGAGGTTATGCATCGCATTAAGGCTTGCTGTTCACAGGGTCCCTGGACCAGGCACGTCTGCACCCCTGGGCTGGTTAGGAATGCTGAGCCTCAGGCCCCCACACTGGTGGGTCTGTTTCCATCCTAGTGAGCGATAATGGTGTCCATCTCCATAGAGGACCTGGCTTCAGACAGGCAGAGTAGGAGCCCAGGAGGACATCAGGGCAGACAGATTCGCAGTGGGGCAGAGATGCCATGCACATGGAGAGGTCAACAAACATGCAGAGGTGTGGCCACACGTGTCTGTGTACACACACATGCAGAGGGCTCCCAATAAGACTCCTGAGTGCTGTAAAAAGCTGCTCAGAGGCAGGAAGGTGGAGGAATGTTTTTACTCTGTGAAGGGTTTGAAAAGCAGAGTACTGACACTTGACATGCTCACAGCATTGTTTCTGGTGTCTTACACGCACACATGTGCAAAGGCACACAATTTTGCACACAAATGTAACACTGTGCACACATAATCTATTCCCCTGTGCCTACATACATGCACATGTGTCCAGGCGCACATGCGTGCTCACTCACACATCACACATTTGCACATGCACACACACGCACCGTGCACAGACACAGAGGTGTACACACAAATGCTCACACCCACACCATGCATTTGCACATGCACTCTCACTTGCTTGTCCCATATGCTTGTCCGTGTGCACACACGTGTATGCACATCCGCACACTCACCTGTCTGTAAGCACCCAGGCACCACACTGATGTGCACACATGCGCCTCACAGGTGCACACAGGCACAAATATAGTTACACGTAAGTGTGCGAGCATTTGTGCACACAGGCGTGTGTGTGTGTGCGTGTGCAGAGCAAGCTCACTCATGGACAGCACTCATGCGTGCTAACACTGACGCAGATGCACCCCTCCGAGCCCGGGCTGGTGTGGTAGCACATAGAACGATCCCACAGACGCCGAGCTACAGCGGGAGAAGCTCCTGTCTGAATCACTCTCGTTCCTGGCTGAAATCCACGCTCCTCTGGATTCCTTGGCTCCCAGGGACGTGCAGCAGGACAACACGCATCCTGTGTGCTTCCTGGGCTTCTCAGGACAGGAAATGTTACCACCTGCCATCCCCTCCGTGCCTGAGAGCAGGAGGCGACAGCTGTCCTGAGAACCACTGCCAGGGCGGTGCGTGCTGGCCGGGGTGGCGCTTAGTGTGTCCTGACTTCAGGATGATCCTCTTTGCACAGGCCCTAAACAGGAAACAGTGAATGACTTTTGGCGAATGATCTGGGAGCAGAAGTCTGCGACCATCGTCATGTTGACAAACCTGAAAGAGAGGAAAGAGGTGAGCCCCACCCCCTCTCCTGACTCACCGGCTTCCTTTAGCTGCTGCAGGGGGTGTTCTGACCACTTCCTTTTCCGCCTTCCCTCTCTTCTTATCACTGTAGGGAAACACACACACAGAGCACCCAGAGGCCCACCACACCCTTATCTTGAGGCAAATCCGCCTTGTGCTGCGGGCGGCTCACTCTTCCACTCTATGGTGGGGATGATACGAGTCTTGTCAGTTAAGGCTGGCCCTATCTGCCCCACCACCTCTACCCCCAGATGGGACAAGCTGGGTTTGAGAGGCCATGGGGCACAGTAGTGGGGTCCTCAGACCAGGGGAGATTTTCAGCACTTCTGGTTTAAGTCAGAGCAGAACATTTGTCAAGGAAGCCATCCCAGGGAGTGTGGGCTTCTCTCCTACATTGGTCCATAGTTGTTCCCATTCCCAAGAAAGTGAGGCAATAAAATGTGGAAACTATGGAACAATAGGACATGCAAGCAAAATACTGCTGAATATAATTTAAAAACAGCTAGAACAGTACATAGATAGGGAACTGCCAGGAGTTCAAGCAGGATCTACGTGAGGCCTTGGGACTAGGGATATTGCTGATGTCAGATGGATCCTGGCTGGAAGTAAAAAAATGCCAGAAGAATGTCTCTTTGTGCCTTATGGATTATGTAAAGGGTTTTGACTGTGTGTCTCATAACAAGTTGTGCTGACATTGAGAAGAATGGGATTCCCAAATCATTTAATTGTGCTCATGAGAAACCTATACCTGGACCAGGAGACTGTTGTGCAAACAGCAGAGGGAAAACTGTGCTTTAAAGTTAAGAAGGTTGTGTGTCAGGGTTGTATTCTCTCTCCATACCTGTTCAATTTGTATGCTAAGCAAATTATCTGATAAGCTGAACTCTATGAAATAGAGGAATGTGACATCAGGATTGGAGGGAGACCCATCAATAATCTGCATTGTGCAAATGATACAACCTTGGTTACTGAAAGTGAGGAGGACATGAAGCACTTGTTGCAGAAGATCAAGGAATGCAGCATTTGGGATGGTTTGCATCTCAGTGTCAAGAAAACAAATATTCTTATCCACTGGACCAATAGGGAACATCATGATGGATGGAGAAGTGGTTGAAACTGTCAACAACTTCATCTTGCTTGGATCCATAATTAACACCCTTGGTATCTACAGTCAGGAAATAAAGAGATGCGTTCCACTGGGAAAGTGTACAGTTAGAGATCTCTCCAAATTGAGGAATAATGATATCAGCTCAAGGACTAAGGTGCATCTGATTCAGGCCATGGTCTTTTCAATCACTTGCTATGCATCTGAGAGCTGGACAGTGAATAGTAATGACAGAAGAAGAATTGATGCCTTTGAGCTGTGGTGCTGGAGAAGAGCACTGAACAGCCCATGGACAGCCAAGAGAACATATATGTCTTGGAGAGGGTGCAGCCAAGTGCTCTTTGGACACAAGATGATGAGGCTTCACCTCACATACTTCAGGCATGTTGCTAGGAGGGGCTTATTCCTTGGAAGGGGATATGATGTTTGGAAGAATGGAGGGCTGGCAAAGGAGAAGACGACCTTCAACCAAGTTGAAGAACTCAGAACTCAGAGTGCGGTAGTTCCTAGAGAGAGCAGGGGACAGTGAGAGTGGAGCAGACTCTTCTGGGCGGAGGGTGGGAGGATCTGGGAGGTTCTCTTAGGAGACAAAGATAATTTAATCAAATCTGGAAGGAGAGAGACCAAGCAGAGTGCTGTGTTGGTGAGATGTTGAGGACTCAGTCCAGCCTGGGATGCTGGCTGATAGATGGAGGAGGGGAGAAATGCAGAAGACACTGGACTCCCCTCAGGCAGGAGTCAGCAGGGACCTGAGCTTGGAAGTGAGCGCACTGCAAAGTGAAAGACAAATTAGAGACTCTTCTAGAATGTTCTAATGTATTCTAGCGTGAGTGCTTGAAAAGAGGTGGCAGCATACTGGATGAGGTTTTGGTGGATGATGTCTGTTCTGGGTCCCTACTCTGACCCTGGCACATGGAGATAAAGCTGGCTGCACCCCACCTCTGTCCTCTGTTACTCGCACACATGACTGACACTGGTTCTTTCAAAACAATGGCCAGGACTCTCAGGGACACCTGTGGATTGAGGTGGAGAGACAGGTCTTGGGATGGTACAGAGACAGACCCCTGAGGGCTCCCAGCCCCACAGCACCCCCCCGCCCCCGCCAACCAGGGCTCCAGGTCCACAGCCCCCACCTCCTCCCAGGGCTCCAGCCCCACGGGCCAGCATTGCTCACTCACTTTGCACTGAAAAGCACCGGAAAAGGCCTCCAACCACCACTTCCGGGTGGAGGTTTTGTTTTACTTTTGAGGGAGTTAGGACAGGGGGTGAGGGGCAACTCCAGTCCCCACGCAAGGATTTGTCATCCCGTCATCAGGAGAGGGAGGCAGGAAGTGGGGCCTTCCAGGGCGCAGGCCCGGCCTCCTGCTGGTCAGTGTCCTTGGGGAACAGGAATGAGCCAGTGAATGTGTACACTATTTACTGTTAGGCCCTCCGGTCAGCCCTGGTCAGTGCTGGCAATGTGACCTCGGTCAGTGCCCGGCCTGCACTGCCCTCTCGGTCCTCTGTGCCGAGCACAAGGCTGCAGCCAGATGTCCCTCTGTCTCCCGGAGCATCTTTTTCCTCTCTTGTACTGACCTTCTACCAAGCAGGTGTCCGTCTCCAGGGACTGGACCTTCCAGAGCATGAGATAAAGTCTCCTCATCCTGCTTGCTTCTAAGGACACTGTCACTGTAATTTGTCCAAGACAAATGTGTTTGTTCTCCAGTATTATACTTCAAAAGAATCAGTTCTTCAGCCCTCCTTGTTAATAGTCCAGTTTTCATATGCATATAAAGTAGTAGAAAGCGTTATGGCTTGGGTTCATTGGAAGCACATATTAGGTGTCATTGAGTCAAATATAAATGAATATCTCTCTCTCTCCTTGCAATTGAATTAGAGCCCTCCAGAGAGTTTTCAGAGGCTGTAAATCACACAGGAGATGTCCCACCTTTCTCCCAAGGAGAAGCTGGTGGATTTGAACTCCCAGAGGGGGGCCACCTTTGAGTTAGGAGTGTGACCCCCTACAGATGTACAGATGGACAGATTGCATTTTATTGTATTGTTATGTTATCCCATTTTATATTTCATGCAGTATCATTCTCTCTTAGAGCAGTTGGTGGATTTGAACTACTGGCCTTTTGGCTAATAGTTCAACACACAATGCACAGGCCATCCTAGTTCCTTTATGTACACCAAGTGTGGGGTAGGGTCAGTGGTTTAACCCACTCAGAAGTGCCTCAGAACAAAGTCCTGGCAACCTTCTGCGAGGCCACAGCCCCCCAAACCCAGGACACTTCTACTTTGCAAGGTCGCAGAAGCCCAGAGAGGCACACTTAGGGGAGACTGTCTTGTGCCCTCCTGGGGGCTGGCCAGTCCCCATGACTTGGGTCAGGCGCCCTGTGGTTGTCTGTTGCCATGTTACCCAGTGTTTTCTCTCCGTTCTGCCTTGTTCCGTCCCACAGGCTCCTCCCAGGCCTGTGAGGCAGGCAGGCTGCCTTCTGCATCTTGATCTCTGCCATTTCCAGTGAAGCCGTTTCTCAATTGAGTTCCCTTTCTCTGAATCACTTGCCCTTCTGCTGTGGGCCCTCTCCCTGGCATCGGTACCCTGGGCTAAACGTTGTGAAACCCAGCACTCGCATCTCATGGTCTGAGGAGGGACTGCGCCCACTGCGTGGCTTAGGTGGCCAGCGTGTGCCGCCCCTGAGCCCTGGGAGTGGAGGACTGATGGCAGAGCCATGGGAGGCCTCCCAGCAGTGACTCAGGAGCTGTGGCCACTCTGCAGAGCCAAAGACGAAAGTGAGAGGGTTGTGGCCAGCCAGGAGGCAGTTGTTCTAGCAGCTTCTAGCATGAAGGCAAGAGCAAGGCGGCCACAAGCAGGATGAGGAGGAGGGCCAGCGTGGTGGATGTCCGTCCTTCTGCAGGCACATGCCCGCCTCAGTCCTCAGGTCCCTGATCCAGGGCATTTCAAGCAGGACAGGACTCCCCACCAGGCCCAGTGAGGCCTTTCTCGCCCCCTGTCCACTGTAGAGCCCGCGGAGAGGAGTGGGCCGGCTCCACAGTACAGGGATAGGGGCTGTTCACCAGGCTTCTCATTTTCATGACTCTTAGTTCCCGGCCTGACCTGTTCGATGTGCTGCACATGGGTCAATCCAGAGATTATGGCCATGTGTTTGGAAAACTTGTTAAACACCAGGATTCTTCTAGGCCTTCTTTCCTATCACCTCCATTTTTAATAGGCTTTCATTTTAGAACCTTTTTCTTTACATTCTGTTAATCTTTAGTTGTGATTTGGGTGGAAGTTTATGGAGCAAATCCATCTCCCATTGCACTCTGTATGCCTGTTTCCACTCGTGACATTGACTGCCATTCCTAACGTGCACCAGCACTCTTCCACTATTGCGAGACTTTTTGTCTGGGAGGGTGGGGGGTGTCACTGAGGAAGGTGGGGGGGTGCCTGTGAAGGTGGTGAGGTATCTATGAAGGTGTTGGGGTATCTCTGAAGGTGGTGGGGTATCTGTGAAAGTGGTGAGGTATCTTTGAGGAAGGTGGTGGAGTGTCTTTGAGGAGGGTGGGGGGTGTCACTGAGGAAGGTGGGGGGTGTTGTTACTGAGGAAGGTGGTGGGGTGTCTTTGAGGAAGGTGGTGAGGTGTCTTTAAGGAAGGTGGTGGGGTGTCTTTGAGGAAGGTGGTGGGGTGTCTGTGAAGGTGGTGAGGTGTCTTTAAGGAAGGT